GACCAAAAAAGAAAAACAAACAAAAAGAAAAAATAAACACAGATTTTGAAAAAGAAAAAACATGAAAAGAAAACTAAAACCCTAAAGGCACTATTATAACTCATACTAGGTTGGTAAAAATTATATAACAAATACAACATTTGTATATCTCTTTTGTAAAGGCAAAGCTCCACCTTGGTATTAAAATTTTCTTTCCGACCTTCCCACTGAGTTCGGATGGCTCTGTTGTCTGAGGACCTATATCAAGGCTCCCTTCCGCTGTAATTAGAGTTCCCAGGCCGAGTCCCATGTAGTAGCACCATATTCATCCATAAACAAACACGTGGTTGCAATCTACTAGTCCGTCCGAATTTGGGAAGTAAACAATGCTGATTTTTTGGAGAGGATAAGTCAAATCCCCACTTTTTGTCAAAAAATTTTGGAAGAAAGACAGAGAAGCGGAAAAAGAATAGTAAATACTACTTGGTCAATAAAAAGGAATGCAGCTTAAAAGAAGCCCGTTCTTTACTGTTTCTTAGTTGTTTCGCAACCAATAGCTTCGTCGACGGTAGGCTTGGACTTCTATCACCTCCACCAAAATTTCGTATACGAGGGCACTATCTTTTGCCAGTTATCTTGTATATAGACACTTTTGGCTTGCATGTCAAATATATAAAGGAGTCTCCAAGATAGCAAAAAGGTTAACCTTTATAAAAACTGCCCTGTTGATTCACCTCACTACAGGTTACTACTCTCTAGTATCAAAAATAGGCTTTTCTTTTCGTCAGAAAATTTGGTCTAAGTGATCGTCATTTGTATTATTATATATATATAGTACTATATATAAATATATATATAGTACCAGTGAAAAAGATTTGAATTTTTTTTTTTGTTCTTTGGAAACATAAAATTTTAAATTTAAGTTCCCAAAAAAAATTTAATGTTCTTATAATAAAATTATTAAATCTCTCTTTCTTTCTCTCTCTTTCTCTCTCTTTCTCTCTCTCTTTCTCTCATTTATTAAAAAATAGAAGTTATTAATCAAAATATTTAAATTAATTTAATCAATGTATTTATTAATTTAAATACTAAATTATTTTTTAATCTAATTATTAAACTAATTTAACTTATAAAATATAATTATCTAATTTATTTGTTTTTTAAAAATATAATATATTTATTTATTTAAAATATTACATATTTAATAAATATAAATAAATTATTTCCTAAACTATAAAAAAGCCCAAAATTCATAAGCTTTTTGAAAATTAAATTTTTTATAAGGTGGACCATTAATCTTAATCATTAAAAGATAATTAAGAGTACTAGTATGCATTCGATTTCTAATTTTTGTTTTAATCAAATTTTGTTGTGAAAAAACTCTTTCTATAAAAGTATTAGAAAGTGGAAGTGTTAAAAAAATTGAACCAATTTTAGCAATATTAGGATATAATATTGAAAAATTAGTAGTATTAAAAATTTTTAACCAAGCATCATTTGGTTTTAAAGAAGAAAAATTAACAAGTAAAATTCAAATATATTTTTATTCTTGAATCAATTTATCTTTATCAATAAATGGTGAAAAAATAATATCTATAAAAAATATAAAATATTATTAAAATTTTAAATATTTTAAATAAATTATTATTATTTATATATATACCTTGAACGGATTTACTTATATCATAATAATTAGCAATAGTTGTAATTTCTTTATTTCCATATTCATTTAATAATGTAGTTGGTAAATTGTGTGGATCAAAAATGCAAAATGCATTTGTAATTTCATAATCAGGAAAGCATATTTGAAGATTTGCAATTGTTGTTTGTGCAAATTCTTGTATATGTGATGGAATATCATTTGTTGAAAGGTTATTTTCATCTAAAAACTGTCGCAAAAAATTTCCCCATGTAGGTTCTTGATTATTATTACCTAAAAAATTAAATTTAATTTTTTGAATAACAGTATTAATTTGAATTTTAACCTCATATAGTGATACATAATTAGCTTGAAAAATAAGTGTTAAATATTGAAGATCACTAAGAATATCAGCTAAAAAATATGTTGTACTGTAAGAAGAAATTTGCATAATCTTCTTGAAGTGCTTGAATTACAGAATTAATTATATGATGTAAATTAGAAACAACATTTGATAATGAAAGCCATCTTGTTGTTACAATTTTTAATAAATAAAGTTCAGGATCTACTTATTTATAGTTATACTATATATTAGTATTATTGAGTTGCCAGATTCAATGTTACCCTAAATAGGTAAATCTCAAAATGAGATATGTGATTAGCGATCACATGTTGATACTTTGCGGGATTTATGCGCATGCAAATCAACGATTTGTCATGGTCAGTCAAGACTTGTTGGCCAAAATCATTGATATTGGCCAACATATCGCAGATCTGACACTAATGGTCTTGCACAGCAAGCCTTAATTTGATTGGTTGTGGTCTTGTGTGATAAGTCTAATCTGATTGGTTGTAAAAAATGGGGTTCAAAAAATGGTGACCTTTTTTGTAAATGATCGACAAAGGCAAC